TAAAGCACTGACAAATAAGACTGGCGTAAACATTGATATGAAAGTCAGTAACAAATCACACAAACTAAAGTAGATTGTAGAAATATAAAAACAAATCTGTTGCTTTACCACACTACTTTAGGTAATTAATTAAGTCACTGTAATAAACATATGTAAACATGTGCACTGCACTTTTTAAACACTGTCTGGTAACTTTAGACCAGTGGTTCTCAAACTTTTTTAGTCGTGCCCCCCTTTAAACCTATAAAAAAATCTGCCCTCCCCCCCTTTCCCGAATCCCCATCCCACCTCAGACTACCAAATAATTTCACTAAACATTATGAAAAATTTATGCTTTTTTAATTTAAAAAAACCTACAGGGAAAAAAACACCTGCATCACTTGAAACATTGAAAATAGCATAGAGAGCATAACTGTTATTATTATTATTCTCTCTGTTATTTTATTTATTTTTTGTGGGTTTCATGCTGTCCGCTAAGGCATAGGACACACACAGGCTTTCCTCCTCACCAACGACATTAAACACCGTGTCTACACTGGACGTGAGCGGCAAAATACAGTAGAACCATTATAATCAGTGAAGCTGTCTACACTAGATGCACAAGTGTACAATACGACACGACAAAACCCGACATTAAACTGATGCCTCATTCTATTTATGACGTACTGACACAAAGTTAAAATAATTTGCAACGGTCGCTTTATCGCGTCCAGTGTAGAGCTGTTGCGGCGCAACGCACAACTGTAGCGTCCGGTATAGACATGGTGAGTGAAGCCGAGAGCGAGATATGCCTCGTCATATTTTCTGCATTTAGCTTTTAAATGACCAGCACCTGCCTGGGTCTGTGCGACTTCATCTATGGCTTTTCTCTTCGCTTTCACAAACCGATCCATCTCCCATTCTAAGTTACGTCCTTTGGCTGTTTACTGTTTTATTTCTTTTCTTTTTCTGCTGATGGCCCACGCTCGACTTGAAGCAGCACTGCTTAGACCGATGGGTGTGTGTCATTAAAGTACTGTGAGAGCTATAAGAGAGCGCAGACGTCTCATTATGCTTTCTCTCGCCGTACTTTGATGTCATACACCGATCTATCTTCAAGTCGAACACACTTTGCGATTTCCATATCGCGATATTATCGCAAATGCAATTAATCGCTCAGCCCTAGTTTTGTTCTACAAAACTTGGCAACCCTTTTCGTCAAGCAGGTAACGTTATTAGAGCCCGACCGATATGGTTTTTGTGGGGGCCGATACCGATATTAGGGCGTAAAAAAAGACCGATGTCGATATATCGGCCGATATTCTTTCTGTGTAGGCTATATTATAGTACAGTATAGTCAAAAGTTTGGACACACTTCCCATTCGTGTGTCCAAACTTTTGACTGGTAATGTATATAGAATACAGTACATAGCCTACATAAACAGAATATATATACATAAACAAACATTGCAATGATAACTCAAATGTGGTGATCAAACACTTATAATGATGTGACAAACATAGGCCCATGTAATGGAGGCAGGGTATTTAACAATTTAACAATAAACTTTATTATTCAAAATGAGTCTGACATCAGTGCACTTAACAGTAAACTTCACTTCACTTATTATAAATAACTTAACACAAATAGAACAAAATATATATAACTTGAATTAAGAAATTAAACAAGGTAACTGTGTAGGGCAAGCAAGCTACTGCCAAACCAACAGGGGCAGGTTTATGCAGGAAGCACAGCTTTTCCAAATGTAAACATCTAAAATGAATATATAATAATAATTAATAATATATTTTTTTCACAAACTCTGTGTTGTGTATTTTCTGGTAATCAAATGAACATGCAGAACATGAGGATTTGTATTTAAATAAGTCTTTGCAGTTAAATATTCACAGACACTAGCGATTTGATTTAAGTGTACTGACCTGTTTTTTATTTATTCATCAAAAATAAGACAAATTCCATGAAATTCCGCGTTATACAGTAAATTCCGTTTTTATGACTGGATTCCGTTCATGTTTTCTGCATCGCGGAAATCATAGGGCCCTACTAATGTAGCAAACGAATATGATAAGCTCATTGTGAGAGTAAAGGACGGGGACAATGTTGTTTATTTACTTAGCGTTGAGTCTCTCCAACTAGGTGACAACGTAGCATTAAATCACCATTCGCGAGCGGCGCGGCGTGACAAAATACAATAGAAATTTTATTGTATGATATGATGAATGGATGGCTCATTTTTAACAGCAGATTCAGTAATGTTAGAGACTTTCGTCAAATCCGCCGTCCGCGCCGTTCTCAAGCCCACCGTGTGTGACGCTGTGTGTTTCGTTGTGAAAGCGAAACTACTTTGTTTGGTCTTCCAAAAGAGGACACAACTAGAAATCAGTGGTTAAGTTGTATTTACAACTTTCTCCGATCACAAATGCAGACATAGTTTTATGTTTACGCGGTGCAATACATAACGCAACGCGTAAAAAGACAGTATAAGTCATTATAATCAGTAATTATGTCCCCACTGAATGCAACAAATGCCTAGTTTGTAATGGGTTTTATTGTTTTGTCTTGTCGCGCTGGGACAGGGCATCATCACAGTATGGTAGGGGCGTAAAATTTCCATCATACGCTTGAGGTATTCGGCCAATCACAACGCACTGGATAGCTGGCCAATCAGAGCACACCTCGCTTTTCAGACCGATGAGCTTTGTAAAAATCGACGCGTTTCAAAAAGGCGGGGCATAGAGGAGAAACAATAATGTACAGTATGTGGAAAATAATGTGTTTTTTTAACCTTAAACCGCATAAACACATTTCATTACACCAAATGCACAAAATAATGTTCTTTTTAGCAACATCATATGACCCCTTTAACCTGCAAAAATAAATACAAATAAACAACAGAACTCTTACCTTACTTCCTAACTAGCAGGAACAGGAGAAAATGAGAACAAAAGAAAATGGCACCCATCTCCCTACTGCTCCAACACTCAATAGCAGGCAAATGACTCAAAGCTGTGCACTATACAGCCAAAACACATTTCAGCTGAAGATAGGGATGGCTGACGCGAAACTGACATTTCGACGCAGTGTCGAGATCCCGAAGCGTAGATGTTTCGAAACACTGCTCCGAAGTGTGAATCAAAACACCCATGTCACGTGACAACGGCTAAATTAAGCTTCGGTGCGGTTCATAAGTGTTTCAACCGACAGGCGGCAAAACAATTTTTTTTTATTGCTTTCAACAAAACTTTTATCAACTTTAAGAAAACTTTTTCAACAGTTTTTTATCCCTAGGACCCATTTCTCAATACTTAGGCCACTGTTCAAAACTCTTCACAAAACCCAGTTTGTACATATTGTATATTACAATATTGATTTGATATATATAAAATCTAAAGCCTTTCAATTTCATTACCAACTTTACAAGAGGGGAAACTTTTGAATAATTTCATACTGTAAATATGGACCATGTAACTTATATTACAGTGAATTCTAAAGAGTAGAGAGCTGCCATTCTTGTTTTGTAAAGACATTTTACAAAAGAAAAAAAGGTAACAGTTTAGTTTAGGGACCAATTCTCACTATTAACTAGTTGCTTATTAGCATGCCTATTATTAACATATTGGCTGTTTATTAGTACTTATAAAGCACATATTCTGCATGACCATATTCTACATCCCTAATCCTACCCAATACCTAAACTTAACAACTACCTTACTAACTATTAATAAGCAGCAAATTAGGAGTTTAGTGAGGCAAATGTCGTAGTTAATTGTTTGTTAATAGCGAGAATTGGACCTTAAAATAAAGTGTGACTGAAAAAAAAAACTGTATAATGCTACCTGTTGTTGGTGTTTTTTATGTCATTGTTTTATGAATGACAAAGTGTGTTTGTTGGGTTAACTTTGCTAGTGAGACATTAGCGAGTTGTTGTGCATTTTGGATGTGAAATTAACTATACTGTGCCAATCTGAAAGAGTTTTGAAAAAGTGAACAAAGTATTGAGAAATGTCTTAGCAATTGTAGAAAAAAAATTCATGAGGTGTAACCAAGTAAAATTAAGATTAGATTAGGAACAAATTATCACTATTAACTAGTTGCTTATTAGCATGCATATTACTAGCATATCGGCTGTTTATCAGTACTTATAAAGCACATATTAATACTTGATTCTACATGACCATATTCTAGATCCCTTAATCCTACCCAATACCTAAACTTAACAACTACCTACTATTAATAAGCAGCAAATTAGGAGTTTATTGAGGCAGAAGTTATAGTTAATAGTGAGAATTGGTCCCTAAACTAAAGTGACCAAAGTAATAAAATATTTTTCTTACCCAAGGGTAAGGTGTGAGTGTACAGATCTTAATGATTGTTTTAAAATTAAAATTAATGAAGAAAATATATTTTTTTAATATATTTTAAAAGTCTTTCCTACAAATACCTGTTTTTCATAGTAACTTATGTTACACAATTTACGTTGTTAGTGAATGACCCCATTGTACCTTTCTGGCTGTAAATAATCTTTGCAGAAAAAAAAATGATACTTGTTGCACATATGGACTGAAATGAATCTTTGCATGTCATAATTTATAATAGCAAATGCAAACACACTGTTCAGCCCTGAATATTCAGTTTAAAAGTACTAACTAATCAAAATAATCCTATGATATATTCATATTTATTTAGGGTTAATCAATAGATCTGTGGGGCAGCTGTTGTTTGTGTTGGATCTCGAGTGCAGTGAAGAGGTTGATTTAGACTCCAGTATTGATGTGCTCTGCTAATAATTTCAGATCTGATTGCCTGAAATGGTTTTCCGGCATTCTCCAACATTTCCAGTCCTGAAATGACTGCATTGTTCGCTAGCACGGGTGCATAGACATATTTTCTCACATATGTAAACCTGCATGTGCAATGAAAACTTATTAAGAAGTGATTAATATCAATATATTTCCCTGTATAGGTATGGCAGAAAAACTTGCATTTATGTAAGTAGGTTCTACCCTCCCACCTGTCTGCAGTTTCCACAGCCATTTCTTGAGCCTTTTTCCACATCTGAGATGTGAACAATAGGGATAAAAACAGGGGGACTTCATTTCTCTACATAGATTGTATCTGGGTAAAGACACAGGATTCTTTCTGCACTCTCTCATTAATTACATTTTGTTATTTTTATTAAAAGTTACATTGTGTGGCAAAAGCCAAAGAAAGTCTTGAAGACAGTATAATCAGACCTTGACAGAATTGAACAGGCGATTTAGTTCTCCTAATTGACCGTTGTAGTGCCAGCTCTGTTGTTCACGTTAAAGAGTTTTTCCCAGTCATTCAAGCTCTCTGTGTCTCCTGTGTTTGTTCTGCAGGTCTACCAGATGGACACCGGTCACTATCTATGCAGGAACAAGTACTACGGCCGTAGTCTTTCTATTGAGGGATTTCGACACGCACTCTTTCAGTTCATGCACAATGGGACGCAGCTGCGCAAAGACCTTTTTGAGCCCATCCTGAGCAAACTATGCAGCCTGAAGGCTGTGCTGGAGCGCCAGGCCTCGTACCGCTTCTACTCCAGCTCGCTGCTCATCATATACGAGGGCAAGGACCCCGAGTCTGTGGACGCTGGCTGGCAGAAACCCTCAGAGCTGCCATCAGAAAAGGAAAATCAGGCCACACCGCTTGGGTCTGTGGAGAGCCCGCCGGCCTCAGAGCCCCACACGCCTCCTCAGATGCTGAGTGTGGATGTGCGCATGATAGACTTTGCCCACAGCACCTTCAAAGGCTTCCGGGATGACCAAACAGTCCATGACGGACCTGACCGTGGCTACGTGTTCGGACTAGAGAGCCTCATCAACATTTTGCAGGAAATCCGCAAGGAGAACCAGTAGCCGAACCCACTGCTCCTTCAGTTGCCACCCAGCAACTTCATGCAGACTGTTGTTGACATTTTCATAGAAAAACAAAGATGTTTGTAAAGATTGCACATTGACTCAAAACTAAAGGCGTATTATAATTTGAACCGTGAGGGATCCGTGCACACAAGAAATGGAGGTGACCTCTAGCTATGAAGGTATGAAGGTTCTGCTGTCAGGAAAGAAATGGCTCAACAGAAGATGGTTTCAGTTTGTTTGTCACATGGATTCATCGCCACCTTGTGGCCCGCTGAAGCACTGCAGGAATGAACCATGAACTCAGGCCGTGTTGTCAGGGTCTCTCTTAGAGTGTGTGTGTGTGTGTGTGTGTGAATCTCAAGAAGAAAAGTCCAGGTCACATTTCACCCCAAAATCAAAATAAGAAAGATGTTATATTGCATAAATAAAGCCTGTTTTAGGACCTTTAAGATTTTTGTGACATTATTTTCATGATAAATTTAGCCTGAAAGCATTTCATCCCAAATTCTTATTATAGTGCAAAACATTTTATCCAGACACACATTGTTTTAAAACAGAATAAATAAAATTCAATACAACAAATTCCATCATGAATTGTACTTTGCCACTATAAATACTGTATCATTATTTGTTCACATCATACTGTACTAATGGGACTGATAGGGAAGATTAGTTATAAAAATAATGTCACCATGCAAAAAAAATCTTAATGGTTTTGAAAATATTTTCATGCAATGTTGTTTTTTCTTGTAATTTGTTTTATTTTCTTGGGTGGGGGAGTGTGAAATATAAGATGTTCTTGTACTCAGTATTTCTCCAGGAGTTTAAAAGGGAGTCAATTCAGCTCAGAGTAGTTGGTCAAAGCTTTACTGTAGGAGTCGGGGGCATTTAAAGGAGGTTTTAAACCACTCATCTCTGATGACAAGAGGATGAATCTGGCCCTGTGGCAATAGTTGAATTCACAGCTTAGCTATGCGAGCCTATTTAACCGCTCAGATAATGCTTTTTTATTTTATTATAATTATATTTTGGGCTTTTTGGTAGCTATCTTACTCTGTACATTTAAAGCAGTCATTACATGTTAAGAGTTTTGACATTTTTGTTGTCCCCCTCTGATTTAGCAGTCGTAGGGGTTTTGGTGGGATAGTGTATTTGTAGTCTTGAATTTAGATTACCCTTGTGTTACAAAGTCTTTCCCTGTCAGTAACGTGGTTATCATTGCAGAGAAAAGCCTCACTGTAAAATAAATAAATAAAATAAAATAAAATAATTTTCTTAATGTGTCAAAATATTTAAACATACTTAAAAAAAATGACCCTGAAAAGCAAAATTGTGTAAGGTATAAAGACTTGTTTACAGATATTTTTCCCCTCTTGATTTAAAAGTAAAAAAAAATTTTTTTTTAAAAAATACATTCTTGTACAAGTCTTGATATTTTAAAAAATTTCACTTCTCTGATTTTTTAGGCATATTTAGATATTTTTGTTGAAAAACAACATAAACCGACTGATTAAGAAACTTGTTTTAGTTAGTGCTCACTAACATCTGCACTGTACATTTTTATAAAAACATTACAAGAGCATGATTTTTATTTTTGTTTCATTTTGTTTCCGAGTTATTTCAAAGAGTTGTCTTTTAATTACACCGATACACTCTCAGAAAAAAAAAAACTGTCACTGGGACAGTAACCTTTCAAAAGAACACCTTTGTTCCTTACTTAACCATAAAAGGTGCATTTTAGTACCTTAAAGGTACAGATTTGTACTTGAAGTGCACAAATTACCTAAATAGTATATATTAGTGCCTTTTGAAAGGGTACCGCCACAGTGACAGCTTTTGTACCTTTTTTTCTGAGAGTGTATGCAGTGACATCTGCCCACCATCAGCAAATGTAGCAAGATTGGTTTCTAGGTTTGTTCTTGTGAGTCCCGTCAGCAATCTCCTCATCATGACACCTTCAGCATGTTCTCTGTCTAGATGAAGCATTTATTGCACTATGGTGTCATCCTTTTACTGAAAATGGACACTTTTCTTCATTCTCTGGGAAACGGACATCGTATCTGCCCGTAGTAGCACTTGATTAATTCGTCTTGTCCTACATTGATTGACTTTGATCACGTGTATAAATAATAAATCAACATTATAAAATAAGGCATCTATGCGGAGTTGTGCCGTAGGGATGTGTCTGTATTTAGACGTGTGATTTTGGTCAATATCCATAACTGGGATATGGAGTGCTTAACAACTGTTTAAAGTCATCCGATCATTTCTGTAACCACTGAAGGGAAATGTTTGAAGGACAAATGCCACATGTATGATGTGTTCTCTCACAATACATGAGAAATGTACTCAAGTTACGTTTAAGAACAGCAAGAATACATAATTCCTAACATGTTGGCGTCATTGATTAAAGTGTAGCTGGTTTGTGTAACTAAACCTTTCATTTGTGTCGACGCACGAGAGAGGAACGCAGTTTCATAGATTTGGCATAAAAAGAAAGAAAATGATTACCCCTCATCCTGAAAATTATCCTTTTATCTTTATTGTTGTTGCATGGATGGATATTTTTTTAAGATAAAATAATATGACAACTTTGAATGTGAGCTATAAATTGTTTATTTAAAAACAGTTGTCTTGTCTCGTTAATATTTTGTTGTTTTGATTTGACCAAATAAAGCAGAAAGAACAACCACAAACATTCAAACCGCAAGTTTAAAAACTAAAAAAAAAAAAATAAGTTTAAAGGGGTCATATGATGCGACTTCAGTTGTTCCTTTCTCTTTGGAGTGTTTACAAGCTCTTGGTGCATAAAGAAGTCAGGCCGCGCCGTTCTCAAGGCCGACGTGTGTGACGCATTTTATGGACGACTGTTTCCTGAACCTGCAGAGTAGCATACAATGGGTCTGTGCTCAAATGGCGCTTTTCCACTGCGTGGTACGACTCGGCACGGCTCGGTTCAGTTCAGTATTGCTTTAGAGTGGGCGGGATTATTCACATGTCGTTATAGTTGCGCCGCCTCTATTGCCGCGACCTGAAAAACTTTTTCATTCCGCGTCGCCCCATCAAGCTTTCGCTGGATCCGCTCCTCTGCTATCAACGAGAGGAACGTCTGTAGCTCGTTCGAACACGCCCCCACATATCTACCTCACTATGTGGGAAGATTTGCATAACGCCGCCCAAATGTTCACGCAAAGAAAGAAGGCGTAACTTTTATTCTCACTGTAGTATTGTTGCCGCTGCCGCTATGTCGTGAAGACGCTGTGTGCTTCGTTGTGAAAGCGAAACTACTTTGTTTGGTCTTCCAAAAGAGGACGATATCCGCTTCGTCATGCCTAGAGCTGATCTGTGCTGGTCGCTGAGGGAATACATTAACTTTCACCGTGGACGAAGCGGAGTCCAGCCCGGGGTCGTCACATGTGGTTGCCGCAAGCCCGCCGGCCGCTCCTTCGTCGGATCCGCCGGGCGCGCCGTTCTCGACCCCGCCGCCTCAGCTCACTCTTGCCCGGCTTCAGCTCAGGCTAAGCCGGGGCTTTCGCACACGGTAGGCCGCTGTGTTTTTCGTTGTGAAAGTGAAACTACTTTGTTTGGTCTTCCAAAAGAGGACACGACTAGAAATCAGTGGTTAAGTTGTATTTACAACACTGTTCCAGAACACTTCAACCCAAATATTCAGATGTGTGCAGCGCATTTTATGGAGGACTGTTTCCTGATCCTGGTAGAGTAGACTACAGTGCCGGCTGTTCTGACTCACAGACTGCAAGTACGTTTTCATTTTTAAAGGATTTGCCACTGATGATTCAAACGCGAGTTTTGGGCAGTGTAGAGTAGCACTTGTTGTTTGTCGTTTCTCCGATTACAAATGCAGACATGGTTTTATGTTTTACGCGGTGCGATACACAACGCAACGCGTAAAAAGACAGTATAAGTCATTATAATCAGTAATTATGTCCCCACTGGATGCAAAAAATGCCTCGTTTGTAATAGGTTTTATTGGTTTTGTCTCGCAGTGCCGGGAGACCTCATCAGAGTGTGTTAAGGGGCGTAACATTTCCGTCACACGCTTGAGGTATTCGCCCAATCACAACGCACTGGATAGCTGGCCAATCAGAGCACACCTCGCTTTTCAGACCGATGAGCTTTGTAAAAATCGACACGTTTCAGAAAGGCGGGGCATAGAGGAGAAACAATAATGTACAGTATGTGAAAAATAATGTGTTTTTTTTTACCTTAAACCGCATAAACACATTTCATTACACCAAATACACCAAATAATGTTCTTTTTAGCAACATCATATGACCCCTTTAAATACAAAGTTCTGTCATGAAACTCTAGATGGTTCTAACTCAGTCAAGTCAAGTCACCTTTATTTATATAGCGCTTTTAACAATACAGATTGTGTCAAAGCAACTGTACAGCATTAATTAGGAAAATAGTGTGTCAATAATGCAAAGTGACAATAGTAAACACTCATTTTTCAGTTAAAGGCAGTTCATCATTGAATTCAGTGATGTCATCATCAGTTCAGTATTAATGCAGCCTAAAACTCCTTTAACAGATTTCAATATTAGAAATGTGTTAGTGTGTGTAGCGTCTGGACCAATCAGACACACAATATATATTTTGTTAGTTATATTTAACAAATACTCTGTAACACCCCTCAGTTGACAAGCCATATGAGGGCCTATGGACCCTTCCCCTGAAATGCATCTTAACACCTCAGAAAGGCAAAACAGGCCTCTGATTCCATGGCAACCAATGCTGATATCAATGGTTTTATTGCCCAAAGGAATGCGGGTAGAGAAACTCACTCATTTTCCACATAAGAAAGACACATTGTGTATGTTGTTACTGTCCTTGTATATTGTCTTTTATATTGTATACTGTTTTATGCAGGCTTATGATGGAACCTCTCGTTCCTGTCATCTTACCTATATGTAATCCTACCATGTTTAGTATCTATGAATTGGTCTTCTGATGATCTAAACGAGAGTGTATATTATATGTTGGTACAGTTGGTACATATTAGTATTCTGAGAATCTTTAGTAATTTCGATTCAAGTTCCATATGCAAATTACCATGCTTACCATGCTAGGGTCATAAAACTCCCCAGTATTTCCAAACTCCCGCTTGGGATTTCAGCCTTTCTCATTGGACAAGCCCATCTTGAGAGGCGTGAATCTTCTCAGACCTTAAAGGCCTCACATCCCTCACATCACTCCAGTCTGCGTTTCTGTTAGATTCTGAGAAGATGTGAGCTAGAACGCTCCTAAGGACACTAAGGACACGCGCCAGGC